AGGCAGTCTATATATGAAGAGTCAGGGCAGTCTATATATGAAGAGTCAGGGCAGTCTATATATGAAGAGTCAGGGCAGTCTATATATGAAGAGTCAGGGCAGTCTATATATGAAGAGTCAGGGCAGTCTATATATGAAGAGTCAGGGCAGTCTATATACTGCTACTATACATCTCTACCTCTATTTAATACAGCTGCTCTCGAAAATCCGTCACAACTTCTGAAGATTCATGGAACAAAATAGTAGTAATAAACGAACAAAATATTTTTGTAATAAACAAACAAAATAATAGCTAGTGTTGTGTTGTAAACATGTTATAAAGGTGGTATTTTGCATTTTTCCCCTACCCTTAAAAGTTTAATTTCAAATGTTCTGGAACTTACAGAGTTACACTAACACTGTTTAAGTTAGCTAGATAAAGCACTGCCAACTTTTAGATATTATCTGTCTGTGTGAATAAATTAATAAATAGCAGAGACAGACAGACATAGTGACTACTCTCTCCCATTCAACAGTTCTTTACAGTGCCTGCAGAGCATTAATAGGGGTTTAGGGAAACGGGTCTATGTCCAAAGAGACTGGGTCTTGACAAAATGATTTCTCAATGAAGCATGGAGGACATTTGCATAACAATTATGGGAACTGATGGGACACTTTTTTTCTAGCACCGGAAGAGAGGAGGAGAGAGAAGGAGAGGGGAGAGAGCGAGAGGATGAGAGAGAGAGGGAGAGGAGGAGAAGACGGGAGAGGATGGGAGGAGAAGGAGAGCGAAGAGAGAGAGAGAGGGAGAGAGAGACGAGAGAGAGGAGAGGAGAGGAGGACGAGAGAGAGAGAGAGAGAGAGAGAGCTGTTTTGTTATTTATAATGACTGACTAGACAACTTCAAGTGCGGTTTGTGATTATTTGATGTGACGAGATTAAATTTATTTGCGAATGTTATTAGCTGCTCATTATCAATTGTCCCATTGTTCTTGTTTCTTCTTGGGAAATGGTGTATAAATAGAATATCCATCCTACATTGTCAGATTCAGATTCAGAGTTTTAATAGTCACATGCACAGGGTTCCAAGGGTGATTACAGGACTAGTGAAATAAAATAATGACAATGGTAATAAAAACCCACAATAGAAATAGAAAGAGCACTATATATCAGAACCGTAGCAGTGATGAATACATACATGACCATTGGGGTGGAGAAAGAGTAAAGACTGTTGAGGACATGGGGGGGGGGGGACGATAGTGGGAACAGCAGGCAGAGTAAAGACTGTTGAGGGGGTGGGGGGGGATGACGATAGGGGGAACAGCAGGCAGAGTAAAGACTGTTCAGGGGGTGATGACGATAGGGGGGAACAGCAGGCAGAGTAAAGACTGTTGAGGGGGTGGGGGGGGGTGACCATAGGGGGAACAGCAGGCAGAGTAAAGACTGTTGAGGGGGTGGGGGGGGATGACCATAGGGGGAACAGCAGGCAGAGTAAAGACGTGTTGATGAGGTGGGGGGGGATGACCATAGGGGGAAGAGCAGGCAGAGTAAAAGACTGTTGAGGACATGGGGGGGGGGGGGGGTGATAGGGGGAAACAGCAGGCAGAGTAAAGACGGTTGAGGACATGGGGGGGGGGGGTGATAGGGGGAACAGCAGGCAGAGTAAAGACTGTTGAGGACATGGGGGGGGGGGGACGATAGGGGGGAACAGCAGGCAGAGTAAAGACTGTTGAGGAGGTGGGGGGGGGGACGATAGGGGGAACAGCAGGCAGAGTAAAGACTGTTGAGGAGGTGGGGGGGGGGGGGAGGGGGTGACCATAGGGGGAACAGCAGGCAGAGTAAAAACTGTTGAGGGGGTGGGGGGATGACCATAGGGGGAACAGCAGGCAGAGTAAAGACTGTTGAGGAGGTGGGGGGGGGGGGGGGAGATGACCATAGGGGGAACAGCAGGCAGAGTAAAGACTGTGAGGAGGTGGGGGGGGGGATGACCATAGGGGGAACAGCAGGCAGAGTAAAGACTGTTGAGGGGGGGTGATGACGATAGGGGGAACAGCAGGCAGAGTAAAGACTGTTGAGGGGGTGGGGGGGATGAGCAGGCAGAGTAAAGACTGTTGAGTAGGTGGGGGGGGGGGACGATAGGGGGAACAGCAGGCAGAGTAAAGACTGTTGAGGAGGTGGGGGGGGACGACGATAGGGGGAACAGCAGGCAGAGTTAAAGACTGTTGAGGAGGTGGGGGGGGGGGGCGATAGGGGGAACAGCAGGCAGAGTAAAGACTGTTGAGGGTGTGGGGGGGATGACCATAGGGGGGAACAGCAGGCAGAGTAAAGACTGTTGAGGACATGGGGGGGGGGGGGGGGACGATAGGGGGAACAGGCAGGCAGAGTAAAGACTGTTGAAGAGGTGGGGGGGATGACCATAGGGGGAACAGCAGGCAGAGTAAAGACTTGTTGAGGAGGGGTGGGGGGGACGACGATGGGGGAACAGCAGGCAGAGTAAAGACTGTTGAGGAGGTGGGGGGGGGGGGTGACCATAGGGGGAACAGCAGGCAGAGTAAAACTGTTGAGGGGGTGGGGGGGATGACCATAGGCGGAAACAGCAGGCAGAGTAAAAACTGTTGAGGAGGTGGGGGGGATGACCATAGGGGGAACAGCAGGGCAGAGTAAAGACTGTTTGAGGGGGGGTGATGACGATAGGGGGGAACAGCAGGCAGAGTAAAGACTGTTGAGGAGGTGGGGGGATGAGCAGGCAGAGTAAGTAAAGACTGTTGAGTAGGTGGGGGGGGGCAAGCGTAGTAGGGGGAACAAGCAGGCAGAGTAAAGACTGTTGAGGAGGTGGGGGGGGACGACGATAGGGGGAACAGCAGGCAGAGTAAAGACTGTTGAGGGTGTGGGGGGATGACCATAGGGGGAACAGCAGGCAGAGTAAAGACTGTTGAGGGGGTGGGGGGATGACCATAGGGGGAACAGCAGGCAGAGTAAAGACTGTTGAGTTTAATCTAATGTTAGAGATGTTTTGACAACAAAGCAAAGTTAGAACATGACAACTATAGTTTATAAATAACTTACTAGCATGATATAAGTGTTTCTAAATGACAAATAACTTGCTATAATACACTGAGCAAAAATATAAACGCAACATGTAAAGTGTTGGTCCTATGTTTCATGAGCTGAAATAAAAGATCACAGAAATGTTCCATACGCTCAGAAAGCTTATTTCTCTCAAATTCTTTGCACAAATGTGTTTACATCCCTGTTAGTGAGCGTTTCGCCTTTGCCAAGATAATCCATCCACCTGACAGGTGGCATATCAAGAAGCTGATTGAACAGCATGATCATTACACAGGTGCACCTTGTGCTGGGGACAATAAAAGACCACTGTAAAATGTGCAGTTTTGTCACACAACACAATGCCACAGATGTCTCAAGTTTTGAGGGAGCGTGCAATTGGCATGCTGACTGCAGGAATGTTAATTTATCTACCATAAGCCACCTCCAACATCGTTTTAGAGAATTTGGCAGTACGCCCAAACGGCCTCACAACCGCAGACCACGTGTATGGCGTCGTGTGGGCGAGTGGTTTTCTGATGTCAACGTTGTGAACAGAGTGCCCCATGGTGGCGGTGGGGTTATGGTATGGGCTGGCATAAGCTACGGACAACAAACACAATTGTATTTTATCGATGGCAATTTGAATGCACAGAGATACCGTGACAAGATCCTGAGGCCCATTGTCGTGCCATTCATCCGCCACCATCACCTCATGTTTCAGCATGATAATGCACGGCCCCATGTCACAAGGATCTGTACACAATTCCTTGAAGCTGAAAATGTCCCAGTTCTGCATACTCACCAGACATGTCACCCATTGAGCATGTTTGGGATGCTCTGGATCGACGCATAGGACAGCGTGTTCCAGTTCCCGCCAGTATCCAGCAACTTTGCACAGCCATTGAAGAGGAGTGGGACAATATTCCACAGGCCACAATCAACAGCCTGATCAACTCTATGCGAAGGAGATGTTACGCTCTGCATGAGGAAAATGGTGGTCACACCAGAGACTGACTGGTTTTCGGATCCACGCCCCTACCTTTTTAAAAAGGTATTTGTGACTAGCGCCGTAGCTCAGCTGGTAGAGCATGGCGCTTGTAACGCCAAGGTAGTGGGTTTGATCCCCGGGACCACCCATACACAAAAAAATAAATAATGTATGCACGCATGACTGTAAGTCGCTTTGGATAAAAACGTCTGCTAAATGGCATATTATTATAATATTATTATCTGTATTCCCAGTCATGTGAAATCTATAGATTAGGTCCTAATGAATTTATTTCAATTTACTGATTTCCTTATATGAACTGTATCTCAGTAAAATCTTTGAAATTGTTGCATGTTGCATTTATATTTTTGTTCAGTATAATTAAAATAACAACTCCAGATTTGTCTAAAACATAAAGAACGGTAGCAGGGATTTGCCTGTCCAGAAAGTTCTCCGTCTCTTTAAAGCCCCGCCCGTTCTGGGCTCAGATCACATGAGTCAGAGTTTGATGTCCTGCCCGAAGTTTACAACCAAGTCACACTCAACTTTACAACAGTGAGAAGGCAGTGATTTGCAATGTGCGCTGTCACTCGTTTTTCGATGGAAAAATCTGAAAACTTTCGATGGTAAATCTGTGCAGTAATTTGAGTTTAGCCAGGTAAACGTTTTCAACTTTTTCTTTGTGTTTTTTTTTGTGGAAAAGTTACAGATACAGTTCGGTAGATATGCGCGTTGTTGTATTGCACAGTGTGTCCTTCCGAAACATCAAAAAGAAGTGTACAGTTTCTGGAGATTACGATAGATAGCTGTTGGGATAACTTTACCAAATTTACTTTTGGACTCACTTTGACTAACTTTCGATGATCGAGGTTTCGAGTTTCGCTCTCCGAAAAACTCTGGATTGATTTTGGGCTCTTTGAGTTTAATCTTTTTATACATATTTTTTTCTCTGGCAAATACTTTTTGGATTGTTTTTGGAATAAACATGGATCCGAGCCAACACAACCCCCCAGCCGGCCACCAGATCATCCACGTCCGTGGCGACTCCGAGACTGGACCTGGAGGCCCTTTTCAACGCTGTTATGAACCCGAAAAATACCATCGTCCCCCCCTCCGTCCCTATGAGGATGAGGAAGCTTCCCGATTCCTTCTTCAAACCGCCAGAGCCAAAATCCCACTCCAGACAAGTAAGACGAGAGAGACCACCCTCACGCACACCCCAGCTACAGCCCTAACCCCCCAGACACTTCAGCAACTATAAAGAGAAAAATCCGTTCAGTTGTTTTACTTTTACCCACGCATGTTCCTAGTCAGGAGTGTCCCAAAAACGTTAATTATATTAAATTAGAAGTTATCTGCTGTTACCTAAATCAAGATGAATCAGCTTGAGAAGGTTAATTTTTTGAGGAGTTGTTGAATAACTTTTTTAAGTGTTACGCATATGACTAGTACTACGTGCTATTACTATAGTTAATTTTGTAAGTTATTCCAATAGTTTCAAGTTGCAGATATATCTTATGTAGGCTTCATATAATGTAGTGTATTGCATTGGCGAAAATTATTATTTAATTAATACACCAAGATTAACATAATATTCGTTTTAAGATTGATAAAAAAGTTGTTACGTTTGATGTTTGTAAATGAAAAGAAAATGTCTGTGATCGAAAAATGGACTGCAGCCTAGGCCCTATGCTTGCAACAGGTCCGTTTGTGCAGGAGTAGAACCTGCCGGTTTAGTTAAACAATGCATGCCCTTTAATGTTAGTAAAAAGCTTACGAAATCATGTGGTGGGATCACTCGTAGCCTATTTACAATGTTTTCCCTTTCAGTTTATGATCTTTAATGAGTGAGTTGAGCCAACAGTGCGCATGCGCGGTTTCACGGTGGCATAGACGTGTCGGAGTATGCGCTTTCGGGACTTCCAGAGTTGTTGTCCCTGATTCCCTGTTCCACTTTAGCAGGCTGCTGCAGCAGCCCTCTTCTCCTCTCCTCCGTCTTTAGAAGCCGAGCAGTGATACTAGGCCAATTTATTATCACAATGTTTGGTTATTCAAGTTTATGAACAGAAAGTTTGTTCTTATTGCATGGAACAACAACCACTTTATTTCTTTTTTAAATAATAATAATAATAATAATAATAATAATAATAATAATAAGCCATTTAGCAGACGCTTTTATCCAAAGCGACTTACAGTCATGCGTGCATAAATTTTTTTGTGTATGGGTGGTCCCGGGGATCGAACCCACTACCTTGGCGTTACAAGCGCCATGCTCTACCAGCTGAGCTACTCAACTCGTTATAAACACGTGACTATAATGAATTGATTTAATTACTTTGAAGTGAATAGTGAGGAACATGATTGAACAACATTTAATGAGGTGTTTTGTATACAAACTTTCCATCAGTAATCTGGTGTACATTACTGGTCATGTGCCATTGTTAGAGTGAATCACGGCTATCCCAAAGACATCCAGAGACCCACGAATCAGACGAAGACAACGAGGAAAAAGAGAAGCCGACCTAGAAGACGTGCGACGCCTGAACCAAGATAGACACGATTAAGACCGCTCCGAGAACAGCACGAACGCACCCCACGCTGCACCGCGAAGCTAGACCCGCCAGAGCCCCCGCTAGCAACGACCCGAAGCACGAAACGGAAGCTGCCAACCGAGAAGCCAGCATGAAGACCGCCGGAAAAGCAACCGAAGGACTAACCTGCAACCGCCTCAGTCGACACAGCGCGACAGCCAGAAGACGAGCCACGAGACTCACGGTACGCAAGAACCAAGACGAATGCAGACCGCACAGACGAAGCGAAGACCGCGAAGAATGACCTCCGCAGACCCCCCCCCCTCCAAGAGAACTCCCCCCTCCGACTCCCCCTCCGACCCACCGCGCAGCCTCCCTACTCATCTCTCAGCTCCTACTCCGTCCTCCTACCTCCGCCTACTCCGCACTCACCTACACTCCCTCTCCTACCCGCCTCACTACCCTCCTCCTCTCTTAGTCTCCTCCTCCTCTTAATTTCTCCTCCATCCTCTTCTCCCCTCTCCTCCTCATCTTCCCTCTCCTCCTCTCTCCTCCTCCATCTTCTCCTCTCTCCTCCACCCTCTTCTCTCTTCCTCCCAGGCCAGCACAGACGCAGGTACGGCTGGTGCCATCGCCCCCCACCACGTGCGCGCCCACTCGTCCCCGGCCTCCCTGCAGCTAGGGGCAGTATCTCCCCTGTTGGGCATGGTCCCTGCTGGCGCCCCCCCATCACACCTCCGACAGTCGTCTTATGAGATCCCGGAGGACATGCCCCTGCCCCCGGGCTGGGAGATGGCCAAGACCCCCTCTGGACAAAGATACTTCCTCAAGTAAGTTTAATAATAGCACCTTATGTACGTTAACTCTCTATACCTGTGTAATAATGCTGTTATTAAGAGCCAGGAACAGCCCTGTAGGCCCTGGTCGAAAGCAGTGCACTATTGGAACATAGTGTCTGGGGCTTCAGTTTACAGCTAAAATAATGGTTCAATGGAGCCTCCCCTCTTGCCAGACTCTGCTTCAGTGTACTCTACACAGGACAAGACAAGACAGGACAAGACAAGACAGGACTGGGGGTAAACTAGAGACATATAGTGGATTGTGGTTGTATTATAGGGACTGGGGTTAAACTAGAGATGTATAGTGGTTGTATTTGTAAGTCGCTCTGGATAAGAGCGTCTGCTAAATTACTTAATTGTTAAATGTTGTACTAAAGGAACTGGGGGTAAACTAGATAGATTTAGTGGTTGTACTAGATGGACTGGGGGTAAACTAGAGATACATAGTGGATTGTGGTTGTATTACAGGGACTGGGGGTAAACTATACAGTGAGGGAAAAAAGTATTTGATCCCCTGCTGATTTTGTACGTTTGCCCACTGACAAAGACATGATCAGTCTATAATTTTAATGGTAGGTTTATTTGAACAGTGAGAGACAGAATAACAAAGAAAAACCAGAAAATCCAGAAAAACGCATGTCAAAAATGTTATAAATTGATTTGCATTTTAATGAGGGAAATAAGTATTTGACCCCCTCTCAATCAGAATGATTTCTGGCTCCCAGGTGTCTTTTATACAGGTAACGAGCTGAGATTAGGAGCACACTCTTAAAGGGAGTCCTCCTAATCTCAGTTTGTTACCTGGATAAAGGACACCTGTCCACAGAAGCAATCACTCAATCAGATTCCAAACTCTCCACCATGGCCAAGACCAAAGAGCTCTCCAAGGATGTCAGGGACAAGATTGTAGACCTACCCAAGGCTGGAATGGGCTACAAGACCATCGCCAAGCAGCTTGGTGAGAAGGTGACAATACTTGGTGCGATTATTCGCAAATGGAAGAAACACAAAATAACTGTCAATCTTCCTCGGCCTGGGGCTCCATGCAAGATCTCACCTCATGGAGATGCAATGATCATGAGAACGGTGAGGAATCAGCCCAGAACTACACGGGAGGATCTTGTCAATGATCTCAAGGCAGCTGGGACCATAGTCACCAAGAAAACAATTGGTAACACACTACGCCGTGAAGGACTGAAATCCTGCAGCGCCCGCAAGGTCCCCCTGCTCAAGAAAGCACATATACAGGCCCGTCTGAAGTTTGCCAATGAACATCTGAATGATTCAGAGGAGAACTGGGTGAAAGTGTTGTGATCAGATGAGACCAAAATCGAGCTCTTTGCCATCAACTCAACTCGCCGTGTTTGGAGGAGGAGGAATGCTGCCTATGACCCCAAGAACACCATCCCCACCGTCAAACATGGAGGTGGAAACATTATGCTTTGGGGGTGTTTTTCTGCTAAGGGGACAGGACAACTTCACCGCATCAAAGGGACGATGGACGAGGCCATGTACCGTCAAATCTTGGGTGAGAACCTCCTTCCCTCAGCCAGGGCATTGAAAATGGGTAGTGGATGGGTATTCCAGCATGACAATGACCCAAAACACACGGCCAAGGAAACAAAGGAGTGGCTCAAGAAGAAGCACATTAAGGTCCTGGAGTTGCCTAGCCAGTCTCCAGACCTTAATCCCACAGAAAATCTGTGGAGGGAGCTGAAGGTTCGAGTTGCCAAACGTCAGGCTCGAAACCTTAATGACTTGGAGAAGATCTGCAAAGAGGAGTGGGACAAAATCCCTCCTGAGATGTGTGCAAACCTGTTGGCCAACTACAAGAAACAACTGACCTCTGTGATTGCCAACAAGGGTTTTGCCACCAAATACTAAGTCATGTTTTGCAGAGGGGTCAAATACTTATTTCCCTCATTAAAATGCAAATCAATTTATAACATTTTTGACATGCATTTTTCTGGATTTTTGTTGTTGTTATTCTGTCTCTCACTGTTCAAATAAACCTACCATTAAAATAATAGACTGATCATGTCTTTGTCAGTGGGCAAACGTACAAAATCAGCAGGGGATCAAATACTTTTTTCCCTCACTGTAGATATATAGTGGTTGTATTAGAGGGACTGGGCCACTTAAGTTTAAAAACTTGTTCATGTAGGCTACTTAATGTGCAAAATGTTTTCAGTCAGTTTTCTCAAATTTAGGCCAACGACTTTCTTCCCAATTGGTTGTGGGCAGACATGATGTAGTAGGATAAAATGAGAGCTTTCAGAATCAGATGTTTTTAGGTTCCACATCTGGAGCACATCTGGCCCATTTAGGGCAGGCCTCTACTCTTCTCCTGGAGTCGTAGGTTACTAGGGGTTGGGGGGAGGGGAGAGGGGAGAGGGGAGAGGAGAGAGAGAGAGAGAGAGAGAGAGAATAATGAAACCACTACTCTATGATAAATAATGAAACCACTACTCTATGATAAATAATGAAACTACACTATAATAGTTTAGTCTTGTAAATAACCACACACACCTCATTGGGGAGTCCTGGGACTCCTCTGTGTCTATGTGTGGGCTTGTGTTTGATCTCTATACACTGTGTTGTCAAGCACTTGAATGCACAAATGAGACTCAATGGAGTCTGAACCTTCCCTTCCCTGTTCTCGGCTTCCTTCTGTCTGTGTCTTTGTCTGAGACAATAGCAGGAGAGACTCAGTGGTGGGAAAAGTACCCAATTGTCATACTTGAGGAAAAGTAAAGATATCTCAATAGAAAACGACTCAAGTAAAAGTGAAAGTCACCCAGTAAAATACTACTTGAGTAAAAGTCTAAAAGTATTTGGTTTTAAATATATTTAAGTATCAAAAGTAAATGTAATTCTTAAAATATACTTAAGTATCAAAAGGTCAAATTATAAATAATTTCAAATTGTTTATATTAAGCACCATTTTCTATTTGTTTTTGTACATTTCCAGAATATATGATAGATAGCCAGGTAGCCAGATAGCCAGATAGCAAACTAAGCATGTGTGTTTAGTGAGTCCGCCAGATCAGAGGCAGTAGGGATGACCAGGGATGTCCTTTGATAGTTGTGTGAATTGGACCATTTTCCTGTCCTGCTAAGCATTCAAAATGTAACGAGTAGTTTTGAGTGTCAGGGAAAATGTTTGGAGTAGAAAGTACATCATTTTCTTTAGGAATGTAGTGAAGTAAAAAGTAGTCAAAAACATAAATAGTACAGTACAGATACCCCCCAAAAACGACTTAAGTACTTTACACCACTGGAGAGACTGAATGGGGATGTTGTGGGCTTTTTGTGTTAGTTGTTAACCCCAGCTATGTTTGTGGTCAACTCTCTCACAGGAAGCTGCTGTGCTGTGGTTGGTCAACTACTTCCTCTATCTCAGTAGGAGCGTCTTGATGACTTCCTCTTTGTCTCTCGTAGTCTCGTTTGGGTTTTCTATTCTCTGAAAATAAAGGAAATCTACAAAACGTTGGTCATTCACTCAGCTGACATCTTCAGAGAATGTTGATATTCTTCTCTACGTGTATTTTTCAGTTATTACATTGTTTTATCTCAGTGATATTTTACACAATGTTATTACATAACAGAGACTCTGAGGTTGTGTCGCCATGACACTTTTGGAATACAGTGTTCCGTGCTACGGAGATAGGCACCCTGAAAACATTCTGTGTCGGCCGCACATCAAAGTTGAGAGACACTCGATCTGAAATGAAAAGAGACCTCCTCAGCAGAGTTGCTGGAAAAAACACTCCTATTAATAAACAGGGGTTGTCTGACCAACCCAGGGCGGCAAGAAGAGAGGGAGAGAGAGAGGGAGAGAGGAAGAGAGGGAGAGAGAGGGAGAGGGGAAGAGAGGGAGAGAGAGGGGAAGAGAGAGGGAGGGAAGAGAGGGAGAGGGGAGAGGGAGAGGGGAGAGAGAGAGGGAGAGGGGAGAGGGAGGGAGAGGGAGAGGAGAGGGAGAGAGAGGGAGAGAGGGAGAGAGAGAGGGAGAGGGGAAGAGAGGGAAAGAGAGAGCGCGAGGGGGGAGAGAGAGAGAGAGAGAGGGGGGAGAGATATAGAGGGGGAGAGAGATGTAATAATAGAGCCAACAAGAGAGAGAGAGAGAGAGAGAGAGAGAGTTTACGTTTCATTCAGGTGACTGACAGACCTCTGCCTTTTAGTATAAAACAGTTTATTAGTCATCACATTACTCATTCTGGATCTCCTTCAACAGGACTGCAGGGCCCCAAGTGGAGCCAGTTATCCCAGTATTAACGTCCCAGGATGCGTCCCAAATGACACCCTATATAGTGCACTGCTTTTGACCAGAGCCCGATGAGCTATATATGGAATAGGGTGCCATTTGGGACACAACCCCAGTGACTCATATAGCTGTGGTTGCTGCATGATGTCCCACTGGTTTTGAAGCAAGTTTCCCTTTTAGTTTCCTTCAGCCATGATGACGGTGCTGTGATGGCTGGCAGCTTTGTGTCAATGGAGTTAAATGGTCTCTGCCATGTGGCGCTCAGATAGAAGAGAGAGAGAGACGGAGGGAGAGAGAGAGAGGGAGAGGGGACTGGGCCAAGACTGGAGCAGCTCTGGGTCCAAAGTAGTGCACTATATAGAGAATAGGATGCCATTTGGGAGACATTCTGATCTGTTGGCCTGGCCCTCCCTTTGTCCCGACGACCAGGGAGCAGAGAAACACTGAGCTGTATTCAGGCAGAACAGAGCAGAGCGCCTTGGCCCTGTGGAGCTGTGGAGCGGTGGAGGGAGGCTCATGTGAGCCGTCCAAAAATAGACAAGCATCTGAGATTAAGTGTAAAGCAGTGGAGGAAGGGGAGGACCATTCTACTCAGTGAATTTCATAAAAATAAAAATAGTGAAACATTAAAAAACAAATAATGTTTATATGAAAATATACTACATTTACATCATTTAGCAGACACTCTTATCCAGAGCGACTTACAGTTAGTGAGTGCATACATTATTATTATTATTAGTAGTATTTTTTCATACCCCCCGTGGGAATCGAACCCACAACCCCAACTCTACCAACTGAGCTACATCCCTGCCGGCCATTCCCTCCCCTACCCTAGACGACGCTGGGCCAATTGTGCGCCGCCCCATGGGTCTCCCGGTCGCGGCCGGCTACGACAGAGCCTGGATTCGAACCAGGATCTCGAGTGGCACAGCTAGCACTGCGCCACTCGGGAGGCCTACACTACACTGAACAACAATATAAA